AGCAACAATAATGAAAGCCTCCATCTTTTTGCTCTGGGCACCGGATCCACTCCAACAAATATTAAATTACTAAGTACCCATTTTCTAAAAATTCTTGTTCATTTTATTAAGTATTTTTATTTTATGTATCTTTAACATACTTGAACCTATTACAGATTCTAAGATGCTTTGATGTTGGTGCTGTTTTCAATCATACTAGATGGTAACCATCCAATAATGGTTACAAGCTACAACTATGACTCCAATATACCACAGTGTAAGATGTATCCTGACAGCAGAAAGACATAAATTTTCAATGAAGTGTAACTTAGAATAAAAGAAATGGGCATTTTGGGGCGCCTGGGTGGCTCAGTGGGTTAAAGCCTCTGCCTTCGGCTCGGGTCGTGATCCCAGGGTCCTGGGATCGAGCCCCGCGTCGGACTCTCTGCTCGGCAGGGAGCCTGCTTCCTCCTCTCTCTCTCTGCCTGCCTCTCTGCTTACTTGTGATCTCTGTCTGTCAAATAAATAAATAAAATCTTTAAAAAAAAAAAAAAAAGAAATGGGCATTTCATTCCTTATTTACATTACATTTTTACTACAGTGCAAAATATAAAAATATAATTAGTATATAGTACTTTGTAACTGTCTTGCAAACCAAATGGAAACACACCTACTGATGCATTTGTATGTGTTAAAATAACTAGGCAGCTTGTTTTTTAAATGCTTTATATTATGCAAAAATACTTGGGTGAATAGTCAGGTATTGAGTTATTTGGCAATATCTGGGAATTTGGTCCGGGTGGGCTAGAAATTCATTATTTTTCTTCCTATATGAAAAAACAAAATATATAGTACCACTTTCCCCAAAATCACCACACAACACACAAAGAAAAGATGCACCTGTATATACTGAAACACACACATGTAACAAAATTATAAAAATAAAAATGAAACACAAAATTCAAGCTAGTGGTTACTTCTGGGAAGGAAGCAGGGGAAGAAGGATGGCACATAGAAACTTCCCCATTAAGTACAACATGCAAGCTGCAGAAAAATGTCTATTTGTTAAAAACAAAGACAACAAATTACATTTGCCCCTATACAGTCACTAGAAAAGATCTGAAAAGATACACAAACTAAAGAGTTAATGTAAACTTTCACATTCTATTTCCATTATTCTTCAAAACTTTTGCAATGCACCTCTATAACTTCTGTGATTAAAAAAATTAATAAAAAAGAAATAAAGTATTTAACAGCAGGGGTAGGGAGGAGGAAATGGCAATACAATCACTGTCACAGTCATGTGACATGTTATATTCCACAAAGTTAAATCAGCGACTGGGATGCATTAGATCCACACAGATAACACTGAACTGACATGATCAATGACATGATCAATGTCATGTAATCATGACGTGACATGATCAATGACCTCATATTATAAAAAGTTCCATTTGGAATAATACCTAAAAATTTTGGAAATATTAGTAATATGTTACCCAGCATATGCTACAATTTCTTTCTTTCACTTATTTCCTTGTTTTAATTTTATTGAAACAATGTGCATTAAACCCCTGTTATTTACCCAAAATCATGGTAGGTATTAATAGGCAGTATGAAAATTAAAAAAAAAAAAAAGTGGCTCCAGTTTTCAAGAAGCTTATAACATACAGTAACACTGCAATGACAGAAAAGTTCTACGTCTGCACTGTCTGACATGGTAGCCATTATCAGCAGGCAGCTGTTAAGCATCTGAAATGTGGCTAATGCAACTGAGAAACTAAATTTTTAAATTTTAATTTAAATGAATTTAAATTTAAATATCCACTATGGCTAGTGCATATAGTATTAGACAGCACAGGTCTACAGGAAGACAAGGACAAATAAACACAACTACAATCTATTACGGTCAGCACCAAACTAGAAGTATTACAAAGGCTATGAGAGCAAGGAAAAGGAGCACTAAGCTCGTCAAAAAAGGGTTTCTGGAAGTATTAAACCTAATTCTTGAATCATGTAAACAAAGGTGAAGCATTACATGAAGAGAACTAAAACGAATAAAGGCTTAAAACTGTAAAAGTGTATGGGAGGTAGATTAAAATCAGCTTTATATTCCTAATTGAAAAAAATTCATAGTAGGGAGTAAAAGGAGAGATTGGAATGGTGAAAGCATGTTGGGGTCAAAAAGTGGAAACACTGTATAATGTTTAGGAGCTTGGTTTTATTATATAAGAGAGGGAAAGCCACTGATGAGTTAGATTAGTAATTAACATAATTAACATGGCTAGATTTGTACATACTTATAGCTGAAGTAAATTAGTATAAATTAAAGGAAGATAAGAAAATACTAGCAAAAAACATTCAATGGAAAAAGCTTAACAATCCTTCCAAAGAAGAATGAGCTATGAATCATTTAAATAATTAAATTCTCATCTGACCTAATATAGCAGTCTAAGCAAATAAAACTCAACTACTCTATACAAACTCCAAAAACTTAATTGGGCCTAAATTTACAGAAAGAAACGCAACAAAATAATTACCAGTATAAAAATCAATACTTCAACCAACACCCATGTGAAAGTCATAGGTTTTAGCACAAACGTGATGGAATGCATATTCTTAAACTAAGTTCCTAAGGCTTCAATCAGGTCTATAAAGAAATGAGAATTAGAGAAATATTATTCTTCTTGTTAAACTCTGGAATATTAGCATATAATTATCAGGCTCCTTAAATATCACTATACGACATCAAGTACCCTTCAAAAACAGAAGCCCTCAAGAATAAATTGAGTGCAAACATCAGTGCAAAGAAATCCTACTTTACCCATGAAAAACAACAGAATTCCTCAAAATGGAATTTTTAAAAATCCAAATCCTTCCATCTCAGCATATACAAACTTTCAGTGTTACCTATAAAAATACAAGTGATTTCCTTAATATTCCTTTGAATTTCCCATATGCTTTTAATATATGCATCATGATCAGATGGGAAATTATATTTTTATACATGTACTTTGCAGGAGATGCTTCAAAAATAAAATTATTTTACAGGAGAAATTTAAATAATTGTTTCCAAGGGTATTTCAACAGGCATTAAGTGTCACTAAGTAACAATAAAAGAAAAAAGGGGAAAATATTTTCAGCCAGAAAAACACTAACCAAGAATTTTTTCAGGTACGTTAAGGAACCTGGATTAGTTATAAATAATGTAACTTGAACAACAGATTATTTTTAGAGTAGAATGAGCAGGAATTAGGAAATCTCTTTATGTATAAAACAATTTCATTTTATTCCTTTCTTAAATGTAAATTTTGGAATTCTGTATTAAAATGATTCTATGAAGTAAATTAACACTGTGCAGTCATACAAAAAAGTTTTATACTTACACTTTACAAACTTGATTATGAGCACAAAAAAGCTACATAGCCTAGAACCACAATATTCTTAAAATAATTTAGCAAAACCCATAAAAAGATGCAACAGCCCAAGTAGTACGACCAATTAAAACCTTATGAGTCAAGGTAGTTGGAAGTGGTTGTGAGGAAGGAGCTATTGCAAGTATGAAAATTAGCAAAGGCCGTTGTTAGTCAAGTCTATGAGAACTCTGAGTAGAAAAGGTTACAGGGAGGAACTGATTCTGCATTGCCGCAGCTATGGCTTATTAAAATCGTAACATTCTGGCAAGAAACTTCAGACAAGAAGTTAAGTGAAAGGAAGGATAATTTGACACTATTGTTATTAGGCACAGTGCTCAATCTTATAATCAAAGACTCTTTGCTATTAACACCATGAAGACCCATTCACAACTTTTTCCACTATCTACCTTTCCAATCTGAGGGAAAAAAAGATTAACTGGGCTTAAATAAATAATTAGCAGATAAATGGTTAGTGAATCAAAGCTGTTACCACACTAGTTGCCTTCAATAGTCTAGAGGGAATGAAACTGGTAGGTTAAAGGGTCTGAGGGACACTTGAGTCTGTATCAGTGCAGAAAGCCTAAAGCTTATTCATACTTGAGTGGTGAACTGTTCTCTATTGTGAATTGTTGCATAATTTGGTAATAAGTTATTATCAAATTTTAAAAAGGAGATTTTCTTTGAAAATATTAAATTGAAAAAATGTTTTTTAAATCACTACTTCATACCACTATCTTTCACCTTCTTTTAAAATCTAAGAAAGAGGGCGCCTGGGTGGCTCAGTGGGTTGAGCCGCTGCCTTCGGCTCAGGTCATGGTCTCAGGGTCCTGGGATCGAGTCCCGCATCGGGCTCTCTGCTCAGCCAAGAGCCTGCTTCCCTCTCTCTCTCTCTCTCTCTCTCTCTGTCTGCCTCTCTGCCTACTTGTGATCTCTGTCAAATAAATAAATAAAATATTAAAAAAAATAAAATAAAATCTAAGAAAGAAAAAGGAGTATTATACTTAAACCATCCTTTCAGCATCCTTAAATGCTACATAGGGAATGGATATTATTAACCAACTTAATAAATGACAAAACAAGAATCCAGCATTGTATGGATAGCAAGCTAATGAGAAATTCAATAGAATTTGGGTCTCTGAGCACCCCGGGATTTGCATTTCTATTTCTTTTATACTCTAACCAATTTTATCTACATTTCTGTGATGCTCTATTACTCTACATATAGCCTAAGAATTCAGGTTTAGTCTTCCAGGAATAATACATATGAAAGTAATCAGTACTTTATTTTACAGAATACTATCTCGAAACCCAGCCATGGAGTCATAAATTATGTATCAGATAATCTAAGTTTTGACATATACATAAAGCACCAGAAAAATGTTTTGATATTAAAAGAATATACATTTATCATAGCATCATTTATTTTGAAAAATGTCCCCACCTATTTCAACTGTCAAAGCCAACACATGTATTTTAAATTATAAACCAAATTTTTCAAACTGAAGTGCATCTAATCTGCTGGTGTCAATTAAATATAATACATTAAACAGTTCAATGCAGCTATATGAACAACAGAGAAAAAAGAAAAAAAAAAACTGATCTTACCTGGTAGTTTCTTTTCTCAGATAATGTATGTCCATCAGTCCTCACCATAGAGTCGTGTCCTTTCCTCACAGTACTGGAGGCAATCAAATAGAACTGTCACTCAAGGGTCGTGTCACAGGAAGGACCGCCCACCAGTTCTCCCTCTAGAGTGGAATTATCCAAAAGCCGTCAAAATTACTAACATGTAAATATATGAACAGTAGCAAAAATATCCAATATGATACACAGAAAACAAAAACTACTTTTTAAAAATTAATACAACCTCTTAACCACCTACGGAGGGCTAGAGTGGGCAGATACTTTGAGAATTTATTAACTATAAAGAACTCTTCCCTCCCACTTCTACTCACCCATTAAAACTGTCCACCAGACCTCACACACAAGGAAGACACATAAAAAAGTGGACAAAAAAATTCAGCCCTCAGCTGACATATTTTTTCTTTTAAGTACTCTCCTCTTAGTCTCAGAAATAACCAATTAATTCAGATTCAGTCATGTAATTTCAAATCATTGTCCTCCAAGTACTTGTTTAATACAGCTGTTATTCTTTCAGTTTATGAGGTTTATTCCTATGCCATAAGACTAGAATACATCATATATTCCCAGGATGATTAGTAGATATGAAGTTAATTCAATTTTCTATTAAACTGAATTATAATATAACTTTATTTTATGTTATATATAAATATATTTTATAAAAATATGATTTTCTATTAAAATTTACTCCAAGGAAGAAAAGCAACATATGTCAACTTTCTGGATGCCTTTATCCTTCAATCCACCAATTTTGTACACGCTCTAATAGAATTTATTTTTTCACATTAAAGCAGAAAAATAATGGAGCTCATTTCTTAACCTGGACAGATACCTAATTCCAAAATGATGAAGCACTGTACACCTCAGTTACCAAAATAAATAAACAAACCATTGAAGTAGAGGTGATAGTCCCTAGAGATGCTAGTTCAAAAATACAGATTTAAAACAAAAGATCAAAAATTCAAAAGTGGTATCTACAAAGAATTTGTAAATACATCTTACCAAGACCAATGTACCTCCTCTAAGTTTTAGTAAAATGTTTACCCTAGGGAAGTAGTAAGTATACCTATTAAAATAATATAATAAATAGTTGCTAACCACTAGAAATTATATTCAAATTTAGAGCAATTATTTAACATCATATGAAATTTACGAAGATAATAAAAACCTCTAATTTAAATTCATAGTAAGTGAGAATCAACTGGATTAAAACCAACCAACACACACACACACACACACACACACACACACACACACACACACACGGATTACCTCTAAAAAGTAATCTAATAAGAGAAAATGTTTTCAAGGAAAATAAATCACTGAAAATTAGTATGATTACATTTAAGTTTTAAAAAGAGTCCACATAATGAAAGCCTATATTGAAAACTGATATTCCATCTCTGGTTTTATATCTGATCACAAGTACAAAGTTAGTGAGTGCTATATTTTTACTTAATTTTAACCATCTTAGATTGTATGTTTGGCTGAAATATTTTAATATGCCTGGCTCAAGGTCAAAAATGCTAATTGTTCATTACCAATTTATATGTACTACTGATATTAAGTATGTCTCCTCAAAAATAACAGAGAAAGACTTTTTAAACCATAAGTATATTTATTACCATAAATGTAAACCTTATCATCTCTCAAGGAATTAGGTTATTCATAAAATAAAATTATCAAGTGAATTGATGTCCAAGAATAGTTAAGTGACACACATTCAGCTCCAACTTAAATTTTCATGACTGTTACAAAATGAGAGCAAAACTATTTTATTATGCATCCCATGAAAAAACATTAACCCCATTTTAATGTTAGTGCTTTATAAAAGTAGTAATTTAAAGCACTACTTGCCTTAACTATTAATCTAATCATGGCAACTCTGAATTCAGTGGATAATAATGTAAAGCTTCAGTTTTTTCTTACAGAGTAAAAATGCTTCCCTTGTTAAATTAGTTATGTTTATATTAAAGTACATGCATACCTTCACATTATGCATTTCATCAAAAGATGTTAGAAATCTAGTATCAGGCAAGATAATTTGAATGTAATTTAATATATTTTAGCATAACCTAACTATATAGGTTATAAAAAGACAACTAGGACTTTATATGCTAAATAAGACTTTAACTAAATATAAAAGTTATTATTTAATCTGTAAACTTACCAGCTAAAAGAAAAGTATTAATTTTGGAACACTATGAATTTTAGTACAAAGGAAAAACTTGTTTTTGTTCATTTCTTTTGTTTCTCCCTCTTGAGATAACTTCAAGTATTTCATGGCTTTGGGTTTCAGTCAACAGCCACTAAATGCTCTAAGGACTATATGAATCAATATTCTATTGATCAATAACTAAGACTCATCATCTCCTTTTGATAAAGGGAAAAAGGAATGGAGGCACTCTATTTTCTTTTAGGTAACCATAAAGAGCTAACATTTGTCACATTATCTTGTATTAAATAAAAATCTTCAGTAATAGATTGCGTTGATAATGGGAATGAAAGAATGCATAATATTAAAGAGAAGGTAACTATACATGTTAAGAGTATGTGAAAAGGAGCAAGTATGAGAAAACATGCCCTCTAACTGCCTACATTCACTGAAGTTTATAAACTGGTTTTCCTAAGTCCTGAATACTCAAAAGTAAGAAAAGACAAGTATTTATAAAACTACGGTGAAAATTTCCTATAAGGCAGGAGGCCTTCCAAGATGGAAAAACAGACTATATTTATCCTCCTGCCTTAAATAACTAGAAGATTAAATAAAATATTTAAAATAATGATTTTCAGACAACAGACATCATCTCAGGATGTGTCCTGAGACAGAAGAGAAAAAAGAACAACCGAACTAATGAAGCTCTACTGCTTGTGGAAGTATGCAGCTAAAACAGGGAGGGGGAAGGCAGAACCCAATCAAAGCCTAATGGTTTCAATGAGTTAAAGGAAAAGAACCCAGACCTAGGGGAGACACCAAGACAGCTAGAATTTGCAGTGCAAATGAAGAGAAGGAAGCTGCAGAGAAAGAGTTTCAAAGATCTGAAGACAACCAGATTGCCCTCAAGGTTTTAGTTGAGTACTTATCTGTGTACACATGTGAAAAAACTATTGAATCTGGAGAAAAAGCCTCTGAAAAGTAGTCAGACCAATCCTCAGAACTCAGGTTTCCATCATCTGGAGTAGGGCAGTTTTAACACATGAAATACTGACTAGAGTTCAGAAGCTAATAAATGCATGAACAATGAAACTGAGTAAGCTTTAGAATAAGGATGCTCTGGAGCAGCAGTTACAAAGATAAAACAAGCCTCAAAAGGATAAAGCTACTTCACTTTTTTTTTTTTTTTAAAGATTTTATTTATTTATTTATTAGAGATAGAGTGAGAGTGCACATGCCAGAGAGCAAGCAAGAGTGAGTGAGCACACATTGTGGGGGTTGGAGGGGAGGGGTAGAGGGAGAAGCAGACTCCTGCTGAGCAAGGATCCTGATGTGGAGCTCGATCCCACCACCCTGGGATCATGACCTGAGCTGAAGGCAGATGCTTAACTGACTGAGCCACCCAGGTGCCCCAGATGAAGCTACTTCTAAGTACCATAACTGTAACCCAAAACAAAACCCAACAATATTAAAAACAATACAACACACTCCCACAATTAAATAATATAAAATTAAATGTCTGGCATCCAATAAGAAATTACCAGTCATGTATAGAAACAGGAAATACACCCCAAACAAGGTGAATTATAATAAGGAGAAAGACCAGCAATGATACAGGTGATAGACTTAGTAGACAAGGAGACTAAAACAGATACTATAAATATATCCCATACATTCAAGAAGATAAAGAAACTATGAATATGGTAAGAGAAATGCAAGGTCATGGAAAAGACCTAAGTTAGCAACACAGGAATTTATGGTGACAGAAAAGTTCTGTATCATGCTTGTGGTGGTGGGTGTAATAGGATTCTACATGTTTGATAAAATACCACCAGAATGATAAAGACATACAAAAAAAGAGAGATCTGGTGAAAAGTATACTGTGTCAATTTCTGGTTTCAATAATGCACTATAGTTATAGAAGACATCACTGGAGGAAGATGGGTGATGGGCATATGGGGCTTCTCTGTGCTATTTTTGCATCTTCTTATGAGTTTATAATTATTTGAAAGTTAAAAAGATTTTTAAAAGGCTCAAACTGATCTTCTAGAAATAAAAATTCAGTATCTATAATTAAACATGCATTGGGTAAGATTAGCAGTCTTTTCTAAACTTTAAAGAAATGTTTAATGAACTGAAGACACAACTAGCAATAAAAAAAATACACACACATACATACATACATATATATATATATATATATATATATATATATATATATATATCCAGGGTACCTGGGTGGCTCAGTCCTTATAAGCATCTGCCTTTGTCTTGCGTCGTGATCCCAGGGTTCTGGGGTCAAGCCCCACGTCAGGCTCCCTGCTCAGTGGGAAGCCTGCTTCTCCCTCTCCTACCCCCCTGCTTGTATTCCCTCTCTTGCTGTCTCTCTCTGTCAAATAAATAAAATCTTTTAAAAAGCAAAAAAATTTTTTAAAAATCCAAAATTAAACACAGTGAAAATAAAAGGAACTGTGGGACAATGAAATGTGAGAGAATAACAAGTGAGACAGAGAACTACTGGGCAATATCAAGCAACTTAACATTAACATAACCAGTGCCTCAGAGCAAAAGAGTGGGAAGCAGAGAAAACAATGGCATTTTCCCTAAATCTGATGAAAACTATATTCATAGATTAAAGAACTTCAACAACCTTCAAAGAGAATGAGAGCAGCAACACCACCCTCATAACTTTAAAGTCAAGTTGCTGAAAAACAGTGAAGGAGAAATCTTAAAAAGCAGACATTAAGAGACAAACTATATACACAGAGAAAAATAACTCAGGAATGACAGCAGACTTCTCATTAAAAACAATGCAAAGCAGGGGAGAGTGGATCAACATTTTTAAACTACAGAAAGAAAAATATCAACTAAGATTTCTAAATTCAGGGGTGCCTGGGTGGCTCAGTCAGTTAAACGTCTGCCTTAGGCTCAGGTCATGATCCCAGAGTCCTG